TATATATATATATATATATAAAAGTCAAAAGAAATATGTTATTTATATGTAATATTATTATTTTGTAAAAAAAAATTATGATTAGGAGACCAAATTATGATTACATTTTGATATATTTTTAATTTCGTGGGTGCACCAATGAAAAAAACAGAGGAATTATTTAGTTAATATAGTTTAAATGTTTTAATTTTCTTTTATATATGTTAAAATAATATTTAATCAATAAAAATTATACATTAAAAATACAATTTAGTCTTTAATTATGAACTTTGAGACACTATATAAATCATGTTTATCCTTCCATCTCCTCCAAATTAAATTCTCCAATACTGAAAAGCACAAATCAGATGAAAAGAGACATTTTTCTCCTCCATTTTCTTTCTATCTTAAAAATTGAATTAAAAAATAATAATTTTTTTTCTTCCTCACCATTTTCTTCCAACCTAACACTGGATAGGATAACTATTTCCATTATCATTCAATAGCGAACAAAATACATGCAATATTGTGTCTATGTTGCGTCGTGTTTGTCTTTGTATTTTTTTTTATTTGATAAAATGTGAAGTTTGATTAATAAAAAAAAAGACAAAAAAAATAACCTATGTTCCTTTAACATGTATATCAATCTTATTTATTGATAATATGTATTTTTTCTGTTGTTTTTAGTTTAATAAAGTTGAAAAGTGGTGAGGTATATTACATCGATTCAAACTGTCAATCTAAAAAGAGTTTTTTCATTGCTTATTTTGCTACAGAAATTAAAAAGTTGTCTTAAATTTTAAAAATATCATCACATCCACTACAAAAAAAAAGGTAGTTAGTGGGGTTTTTTTCTGGCGGTTTCAAAAAACCGCCACAAAAGATTACATTTCTGGCACTCAAAACCAGCATTTACAAAATATCCGCCACAAACGATTTTTGGCGACCGTAGATCCGGCGGTTATTAACGACGCCGGTAATGCAATTTGTGGTGGTTTTTAACCGCCAGAAACTGCCAAAATAGCCGTCACAAATCACACATTTTTTTGTAGTGATCCTTTTCTATATTAGTTGTTACATAATCAATGTGTAAAGAAAAAAAAATGAAAAATTACATTTTAGTACTAGTGAAAGGACGATGATGAATATATAACTTTTGTTCAAACATTATAGCTTGAACTTACTCTTTCTATATGATAAATAAAAAAAAGTGACTTCACGTGTATTAAAAAAATTAATTAATTACATTAAATTTTATTGTTCTAACAATATTCTTTTTAAATTGTCTTTGTCATAAATACTTGAAATGTTAGCACAACTAAAATGTTATGTGTTAAATGAAAGATATTTTAGAAAGAATATTATTAAATGAGATAAAAATAATTGAAATTTACTTATATTTTTTAAATAAAAAAATCAGTGTTTCTTTTGCTTATAATAGAGAACAAATTTTTTTTTTTCCATCTAGGATTTTACTGTAAACTCTCTAAGTGTGAATATTATGACTTGAACTTTATTTGGACATTAGTCTTGTTAAAACTCTAGTCAATGAAATCTTACCATTATTTAAACTTTTCTAAGTGAAAATAGTGCAAGCTTAAAAAGATTAATTCAAAATATATTAAGTGAGCCTGAATAGACTTATGTGCAAACAATTCTTGAGAAACAAATTAAATAATACTCAACTTGAGTATGGAGACACATGATAAAACAATTAATACTTCTGAAAGTCCTATCTATATAGTAGAACTCTTGATATCCAACACTGAATGCAGTCTTATTAAAGATGAACCAATTTAAAAAGTCTTAAATGTTTTATCACTTGTTCTGTTCGCTATATATATATCTTTCATAAAATACATTAAATAGTCTCCGAAAACTTAACAAGTTTTAAGATTATACTCACTTTAATTTTAAAACAAACTTATTTCAAAATAGCTAGTGTATCATATACGAATAACCATTTTAAGTGAATGGAGTTGCAAAATTTTGTTAAAAACACAATTTGTCCCTCTTTATGTGTTTTTATGTGTCTTCTTACAACACCATTTTCATCTTTATCGACTGCTAACATTTTGTCAGTATATGAATTTTGCTCTAGAATTCACATATCAGCACACTAGTGGCGTTGTAACTACCATTGTTTGCTCTTTTAATTCTATGTTGTCATTAAAGTTTTAAGTAATGACAATAAAGCAAAATCTTACAAATTTTTTCATTTTAATAATAAAAAATTAATTACCAATCTTTTTAAAGATTACCTACCATCTACTCCATTACAACGCAAATCTACATTAAGACATAAAACATAAGAATAATCGAATTTGATCTCATATTCTAATCAGTATAGATTTATAAATTCTTATGAAACTTAAAATGCTGTTGTTAGAATTTATATATAGTGAGATTGAATTTTTTAAAAGGCAAAAAAAATGATTTTTCAATGATACTAATAAATTCATAATTTCCTCCATCCCTCATGGCTATACCAGACTTAACGGGGGATCAATTGAATCACCCCTCTCTTAATACACGCAACTCTTGATCATGATGCCTTTGCCTTCATTGGAAGGTACATTGGTCAACCATCACTTGCTATGTATAATGTGAATATTAATGCACTTACAAGATTAAAAAAAAAATGTATCAAAGTTTCAAGAAATCCATCCTTGACACATTCTATATGAGTTGATTTACTTTAGATGAGACTTTAAGAAAGCAACAAGTGCCAACTGCCAACATTGTAGAAAAATGACCACTTGCTGAGATTTTTCTATTAATAGTGATAAAGCAAAGAGTGGTTATAACACAAGTTCACATCACATTTTTGTGAATAGGAAAGAAGTGATGGGTATCTCAAGTAGGAATGGCTTAATGTATGTGCTGCTTTTGTTTGCATTCTGTGAAATGCAAATCATTGCAGGAAAAAACACTCTGTCATGCCCCTTCCGCAGCAGCCCATGCTTTGGGAAGAAAGTGCCATGCCCTTCTGAGTGCCCTCTTAAATCCCCATCTGACCCAAAAGCCAAAGTCTGCTACCTTGACTGTGACAATCCCACATGCGAAACTCGGTGCAAAAGTAAGATCATTCGCTCTACAATTTTACTCTTAAAGTGAATAAGGGTAAAATAAATACATGTTAACAAGAAAATCATTAATAATTAATATTCTAATATATTCATGATTTGTTATGTAAAAGAAAAATTTATCATTGATTGTCTCGTAACTCGTATTATTTAACTTTATATTCTTTAAAGTAAATTACTCTCTTTAGAGGAAACTAATCTTTCATTATATGTTCAATTACGAATTAAGATTGATCATCTCATTTTGAATCTTCCATAACTTTAGAGTTGAAAATTTCATGTAAACGAGTAATATAAGTTAACGTTGAGAAAAAATCTCATTTCATAGCTAACTTTTGGATTGAGTTTGATCTAAATCTAAATTTTATGTTGCGTTAGAATTTTTCAGTCACTGTCGAATCACCAAGAAACATTTATTCTTATAATTGTAAACTATTTGAAATATTTATTTCTTATGTAAGAGTGTGCTAGAGATCTCTTGTACCAGAAAAATGTTTAAAATCTCACATTAACTATTAACATTAACTTTGTTGGTAATTTAACGAGTGGATGCTTAAAGATTCTGCATTTGTGCGACAGCTCGCAAAGCAAATTGCAATGGACGTGGATCAGCATGCCTGGACCCACGTTTCGTGGGAGCAGACGGAACAGTGTTCTACTTCCACGGAAGAAGAAACGAGCACTTCGCCTTGGTATCAGACACCCACTTCCAGATAAACGCACGTTTCATCGGGCTGAGGCCCGCGACAAGAGCCCGCGACTACACGTGGATCCAGGCCCTCGGAATCATCCTCCAGGGCCCCCACACCTTCACCGTCGAGGCCACGTCATCGCCCACGTGGGACAACGACGTCGACCACCTCAAATTCTCCCACGACGGCAAGCCCCTCGCCATCGCCCAGGGCTACCTCTCCACGTGGCAAAGCGACCACGTCAGGGTAGAGAGAGCTTCCAGCGTCAACAGTGTCACCATCACGCTGCATGGCGTTGCTGAGATATCGGTGAACGTTGTGCCCGTCACTAGGGAAGATAGTAGGGTCCACAACTACCAGATTCCTCACGATGATTGCTTTGCACACTTGGAGGTGCAGTTTAAGTTCCATGGTTTGTCTCAGAAAGTTGAAGGGGTTCTTGGGAGGACTTATCAGCCGGACTTTGAGAACCCTGCGGCGAAGTTGGGGGTGGCCATGCCGGTGGTCGGAGGGGAAGACAGGTACAGGACCACGTCGCTTGTTGCTGCCCATTGTAGGGTTTGTTTGTTTGGTGCAGAAGAAACACTCCGAGCAATAATATTACAGGGAATATAATTCTTAGGAATGTAGTATCATTGTACGTCTCCTTAATTATGCAAAAAAAAATGTCCACAATTTTAGTTATCTAATAACTTTTTTATGATTTTTATTTATTATTACTGGTTGATAGAAATGGTAGCAATTTATATTTCTTCACTATATTGTTCAAGATAGCAATTTATATTTCTTCACTATATTGTTCAAGATAACTTTAGATGTAGAATAAAATATATTGAAAAAAAATATTTATCTTATAAGTCTCTGATATAAACTAATCACTAATGATAATAATTTATATCAATATTATGATTAAAAAAATGAATTTTATTTAAGAACCTAACTGACTTCCTTTACTAAAAATAAGATTATGATGGATGATTAGATTTGTACAATTTCATTTTAAAATAATAAGCATTAATAATATTTTTTTTATTTGTAAGAAATGCAATAATGATAACAAAATTTGAATTTAATATATTGTACATTGACAATATATTGTCTTTTCTTAACTAAATAAGTTTAAATTAAAGTAAGATAAAGTTTAAATTAAAGTAAGATATATATATAGGATCAAAGTCAACTATCAAACTTTTTAATAATTAAGTTTTTAGTAATTGTCTTAAAATTATAAGGATGATTATGTTTAATTAATTAACCGTGTATTAATATTGCATCTTCTGAGCTCTTTTTTTCGGTATTATCATCTCCCCTTTATACGCGCCTCTAAAAAACATTGACTCCAAAGGTAAATTCCATTTAGGAACTGTACCCAGAGAAAAAGGTCAGTCTTTTTACAAGTACTTTTTATCGAAACAAGGATATTCACTAGGTGGTTAAATTAATAACAATATATACCACTAGGGTATCATGATTCATGGTTCATATATTAGCTCTGCTTAATTCGAAAGAAATAATCACTTTTTAATTGTTATCTGATAAAATTTAAAAAAAAAAAAAACATTTGTGTTTTCTTATATAAGTTAAATCAATCTGTAAGGCCCGATAGTCCACCTGTTTCTCCATAGTATGATATTGTCCGCTTTGGGCTAGGCCTGCACGGTTTCATATATTAGCTCTGCTTAATTCGAAAGAAATAATCACTTTTTAATTGTTATCTGATAAAACTTAAAAAAAATAAAAAACATTTGTGTTTTCTTATATAAGTTAAATCAATCTGTAAGGCCCGATAGTCCACCTGTTTCTCCATAGTATGATATTGTCCGCTTTGGGCTAGGCCTGCACGGTTTCATATATTAGCTCTGCTTAATTCGAAAGAAATAATCACTTTTTAATTGTTATCTGATAAAACTTAAAAAAAATAAAAAACATTTGTGTTTTCTTATATAAGTTAAATCAATCTGTAAGGCCCGATAGTCCACCTGTTTCTCCATAGTATGATATTGTCCGCTTTGGGCTAGGCCTGCACGGTTTCATATATTAGCTCTGCTTAATTCGAAAGAAATAATCACTTTTTAATTGTTATCTGATAAAACTTAAAAAAAATAAAAAACATTTGTGTTTTCTTATATAAGTTAAATCAATCTGTAAGGCCCGATAGTCCACCTGTTTCTCCATAGTATGATATTGTCCGCTTTGGGCTAGGCCTGCACGGTTTCATATATTAGCTCTGCTTAATTCGAAAGAAATAATCACTTTTTAATTGTTATCTGATAAAACTTAAAAAAAATAAAAAACATTTGTGTTTTCTTATATAAGTTAAATCAATCTGTAAGGCCCGATAGTCCACCTGTTTCTCCATAGTATGATATTGTCCGCTTTGGGCTAGGCTTGCACGGTTTTGTTTTTGGGCTCCTTCCCAAAAGGCCTCATACTATATTGAATGGTGGACACCCTTATAAACTAGCTAATGTTCCTTCATTTTACAGATGTGGGACTTGGGATGAATCCTAACACAATCAATAAAGATTTAAATTCGATCCTTTATCGTATATAAAAAAAATAAATAAATAAACACACGATGTTGTAAACACAAGAATTAAAATTGTGGCCACGTATTAAGTGAGACACTTAAATCATAACCAGCCTAATGTGGCGGAAAAACCAAAATAATATTTAGGAGAACAGATGTAATGAAGAAGTTAGAATCGTTTCCTTTGCACACACGAATTCAAATAAAAAAGTTAAAATAAAGATACACATGTAAGTTCATAAAATAAATTAAAAAAGGAAGAAAAACATGTCATTTGGAAAAAAAAAAAAAAAAAAAAAAAAAAAAAAAAAGGGTGGGGGGGAAACGAATAAAAAATGTCATATGGAATAAGAAAAGTACAAGAATTAAAATTTAGGTAACGTATTTCTACACAGCCTGCATATCCATTATGACCTAAAAACTAGGATGAAAAATTAAATTGCTTGGAGAACGGGTGTAATGATGTTAATGTCAATGAAACTAGTTCCCTTTGCATACACATTAATATAGGAGGAAAATGAACCATCTCTTTCTTGGGTCTAAATCACAAGTGTCCACACCCAGAAGGAGACAGTTATGTTTAAACTAAAAATATTTGCAACATAATGAGACCAACTTTCTGTGGAGATATTTTGATTATTTCTCATATGCATAGTTCAATTAAACTGAAGATTCATTGTTAAAAATAAACCATCACTAACAATTCATTTCATGAAACATTTTCTCCAAGTTTTTCACATTATTTTCAACTCATTGAAGTTCCACATTGATTACGCACTAGTTTCATAAAGTCCTGAAACTTTTCAAGCGTCACCTTGGAAGCCATATGTAAATAGTAAACAGCATCTAAAAAATTCCATGAGAAGTGAAAAGCAAAGCAATTCAACTTACCATAACTCGTGTCTGAAGAAAGAACTTAGAACCTTCATATATTGTAACGTGTAAGAACAACTTGGGGAGCATAACTCCTAATTGGTTTATATGTAGTACAACAGAATTTTATGGGGTACCTTGCATGCAATTACTAACCAGCTTAATGGCACCCAACCCATCACTATCACTCAAGTATATTACAAAGTAAATTGATTTTGGCAGAAAAAAAAATGATTACAAAAGTAGTAACTAAATAAGAAATAACCTTCATTCACCAATCAGGACTTTTCAACTAGTCCTAAGGCCAGAACAGCCACTTACTTGATGGCCTTTGGCAAGAATTATCCATGCACAAGAGCTTATCTTCCGCGAGGATTTACCAATTGTGAGAACACTGCACTTGTGGCAGCATCTTCTGCATCATCATCAGTGCAAGAGTTTCCCCCATCAATCATACTCACACTGTTGTCAAAATGGTCAAGGGGTGTCAACTGAATTCCAGTGATGTGGTTTGTGCTGTTATCTTCAGGCTCCATGAGGGCTGATGAGGTCTCTTGAAGCTGCAATGCATACTCAAGGTTCCACAAAACATCCCCCATAGACGGCCGGTCCACACCGTGCTCGGCCAAGCACTTCTCGGCGGTCTCGCCAAACTTCTTGAGAGAAGCAGGATTCACCTTGCCAACAAGATTTTGATCCATGATTTGGTCAAGCATGCCTTTCTTCTGCCAGGTCATGGCCCATTCAGCTATGTTAACTTGCTCCCTGGGAAGAACAGGGTTCAAGGCTGGCCTTGTGCATAACACTTCCATTAACACCACTCCAAATGAATACACATCTGATTTCTCAGTAAGTTGTTGCCTTCTGAAGTACTCAGGATCAAGATAACCAAAGCTACCCTTCACAGCAGTGCTCACATGGGTCTGATCAAGAGCTGGACCAGTCTTGGAGAGGCCGAAATCAGCAACTTTGGCAACAAAGTTCTCATCTAAGAGGATATTCGTTGTCTTCACATCGCGGTGAATTATGCTCTGAGCTGCGCCGGTGTGGAGATAATGAAGGCCTCTTGCTGCTCCAATGCAAATCTCAAGCCTCTGCTTCCATGACAGAGGTGGCAAGTCCGTTCCATACAAATGACTCCTGAGAGGTCCATTAGCCATGTATTCATAGACAAGAATCATCTCTGACCTCTCATCACAATAGCCAATGAGAGACACCAGGTGACGGTGGCGAAGCTTGGACAGCATTTCAATTTCGGTCCGAAATTCAGCAAGGCCCTGCTCAGATCTTGGGTTGCCCCTTTTAACAGCTACATTGGTCCCATCTTCAAGTGTTCCCTTGTAAACCCTTCCAAAACCACCAACACCAAGAAGTAGCTTCTCATCGAATTTGTTGGTTGCGTCTAGGATTTCTTGGAAACTGAAGAATCGACCAAGATTTGTCGAAGCCAAAGAAATGCAGCTTGCAGTTCCACTCTTCTGTGAAATTGTTGAATTCTTTGTCATGGTAAGAGAGTTTCCATATAGTGGTAAAGGCAGCCATGAGTGGCTTGGTTGAGTAGACTTTGACTTGCGTTTCACCAAGCAGCAATAACACAAACCAACCACTGCTACGGCAGCTAGAGCCCCAACGGCGGAACCAACTATAACTCCTACCTTACTTTTCTTAGAATGTGAACTTGGAAGAAGAGTATCAACTGAATAAAGCCCATCCAAGCTCTTCAATGAGTTGCTAATCTTCATTATCTCCAACCCATTCATAGTGGCATTTGGGAGGTCTGCCACAGTATCTGGACCAACACTCACAGACAAAGTGTTAGAGTCTTCCGAGGCATTGGCAACGAAATCCTTGAAGTAAGGCACAGCCAAGTCGTTAGTTATTGATGAGAGGTCAAGGCTTTGAAGAGCTATGTCAGAATTTAGGAACAAATTGAACACCAAAGTGTTGAGTGACTTGCTCATGATATCACAAAAGTGAGCCCGGATGAAATAGGAGAAATTTGGATCCACATTGAAGACCCAAGTGATGTTGAAATTTGGATCATTCACATTAGCATCCCCCATTGCTTCAGCAGTGGCATAGACCCAATTTGGAGCCGTTTCAGGCGTAACAGCAACCGGATACTTAATGGTCGATGGATTCACGGACACATTAAGGACAGAGCTGTTCACATGAAGATACTTCCTATCATTCACCCAAGTCCTACCCAAGGTGTCATTTTGAGCAGTAATCAAAGGACCCCCCATGTTTAACCGATAAACAGTTTCAAAAGCAAGTTCAGAAAGCCCACTAAATGGTGCTGGTGGGTTAACAGCCAGTGCCTGATCAACAAACAACTCATTTGGCATTGACACAACTTCAATTGCATTGACAAAGGCTACCGAACCATTCGATGGGATGAAGATAACAGTCAATGAATCAGAGGTAACATTGATTGCATACTCCTTAAACATATAAGAACCATTGTATCTCTTAAAAGTAAAGTTACTCAAGAGTACAAAATCTTCAGTAACCACAGTTAAAGAAGCTGAAGTCAAGTTATGGTTAGAGTTTGGAATAGGTGAAAAGTATAGCCTAACCCAGTGCCTACCTTCTTGCTTAATCTCAAACCTATAAGAAGCTCTCTCTGTGAAAACCCTAGCAGATTGGTAAATTGGAAAAGGGGCACTACTGGAATTGGAACTAGCAACAACAGAATTCCCAGTTTTCAACACAAGTGAGGAATGCTGTGAATCAGGAACAAAAGTGCGACCTTGGAAGGTGATGTTTTGAGAAGAACCACAAGCAATTAGATAACTATCAGGAGGAGTGTACAAGGCAAACGACCCATTAACCAAAACCAGAAAAACAACTACCACAACACAAGGAACCCACTTAATGAGTTCCATTTTCACCATTGCAGCTTCCCCCGGGTCTTCAATAGTCCATAAACGGTTTGACGGATACCCAAATCACCAAAACGGGTCCTGTCAAAATCCGGATCCAAGGGGGACCCCAGAAATGCAAATCTCAGAAAACCTGCAACAACCACGGATCTATCAGAAGCAATGCACAGAACCAGACATTTTTATTGCAAGCAAGAGACAAAGTACGAAGTTTCCAACGTCACAAACACAACACAAAGACACAAACTTTAGCTCCAACACCACAACAAGGGTCTTAAATCCAGCATAAGATAAATCTTGTGACGTAAGTAGATTGAGCATAGGTTAAAAAATAATAATAACAAGACTTACCTTAATCTAGCACAGGGTATGGAACATTGGAGGGAGACCCAGTTGAGAATGCATTACACTACATTACATACATGATACATGAAAATGAAGTAATGGAGGCCATTAACGTAAACTCATCATCAAGTTGAGCTTTTTAGTGTGGTTGCTAACACCCTTTTCCAGGCTGTTGATTAGGCTGTCACTTACTGAGGAAAAAAGGGGACCCCACATAGAACAGAAGAAAAGGGGTACGAAACTTCAAACTGTTGTTACTACTCATACACACACACCCTTAAAACCAGCTGTTCCCTTGAGGTTTTGTGGTGGTGATCTTGTGATTTTCCAAATCCAGAATCTTTGAGAACAAATCAATAATTTAAAGCCCAAAAGGCAGAAAGAAAGAAAAAACTTGAAAATAACACAACAGTGAGTTAGGCAATGAAACTTCTATTTTGCATGATATAATATTGAATTTAATGGAATCTAGAAAAAAAAATATATTGAATTTAATATTTCTGACATATAATAATTACTTAGATAGTAGTGTTTAGAGTAATTTTTAATTAATTAATATAGTAAATCTTACAATTTTTTTTACTAAAGACAATGTTACTCTAGTCGAAAGATTATGATGAGAGATAAATTAAGTTTTTTCTCAATTATTTAATATAATTTTATGTTGAAGGTTCAACCTCTCATATTATTTGTGTTAATCGACATACTTAGTAATTAATATGAGTTTTTTTTCATATAATAATTGCATATATATAAATACTACTTCGATTTTTTCTATAATAGTTCGTACAAGTAAAAATGTTTGTTTAAATGAACTTAAATTGATTTGTAAAATTGAATTGATTTATGTTTGGGTGTCCATTTTAAAACCTAGTAAAATTCAATGTTGACTTCTTTTTATCTAGCATGAAGGCAACTTAAAATCAATGTAGAACCTAAAATCTGATTTCTTAACATGAGATCACACATGCGAATATTTCACTCAAAATTAATCATGTTAATTAGCAGGTATTTCAGCGTGATTTAACATAAATTTAAATAGACACTAAATTTTTTTATAAAGATAATATTTTAAAATTTAATTATAATACACTAATAATGCCAAGATTTTATACTTTAATATAATAAGAAAGTATTATATAAAAAAATAACTTTATAATAGTTATTTTAAAATATTTTAATTATCTTAAAGTATTGATATTCACATCATATTAAAAAATAAAATTTAAGCTGATAATTATTTTAGCTGTAAAATAGGTTGTAGTTGTATATTAACCTAAGTGGAAAGAGTTTATAATATTTGTAGTTTTTGTATAAATATGAAAGTAGAAAAGAAAATTGATGGGTGGGAGTGGGAAGGAAATAGGAAAGGTTGCTGCGCTGTACTGTGGTGTGTTGAAGGATTTGTGGGGCCCACATTAACGCGGCTTGAAGATACTTACAGAGCAGGAGGGGCAGGGGTATATGGCCCTTGATGCATGCATGGACTTCCTTTGCACTCACGCCGTTAATTTCGCATATATATATAATATAATAATACTCACTAATCATTTCTTATTTAATTAGTGTTATTTTTTTTTTTTTTTTAACCTCAAGCGTGTGGTTCAGCGATAGAAATTGATCCACGCTTAAGCAAGGTCAGGGGTTCGAATCCTGCTTTGTGTATGCAGCCGCGTTAGATCTTGGGGCCAGCTATCCCACCCTTTGAGGTGCCTCTAACGTAGCGAGGAGATCAGTCACTGCTATCGGCCCTGGATACTCCAGGGACGAACCAAAAAAAAAAAAAAAAAAAAAGCACTCTCAAACAACATTGTTATTATTATTATCTATTTCACGTTATCAATATTATTCACTATTATATTTGTCACTATCATTATCGTTATCATTGTCATTATTACTATTATTGTCAACAACGATGATGGATGTTATTGGTAATAGTAATGATGATAACAACAACAATAGTAATTATGATAGTGATGATAGTAATTATGTCGACATTATCATCATTATCGTCATTATTGCTACATAATAATGTAGCAACAATATCAGTGACAATGATGACAGTATAACTATTATCACTATCATTATAGTTGTCAATATTGTTAGTGTCATCATAGTGGTGGTGATAGCGATAACCAAAATTGTGACAATGACAATGACGATGGATAATGATGATATTAATAATTATGCAAGAAATAATAGTAATAATTTTACAAGGAAGCATTTATAATTATACTTAAACTTGACTATTAATTATTTTTATCTATAATCTAAAGATTATGATTTATTCGTCTTATTTCTCATAATAAATTATATATGTTCTTATTGGATATACTTCTTATAAATAAATATTTTATTTGTATATATAAATTATATTTAGAATTTGAATGAGTAGATATTTTTAAACATATAAATTATATTTTAAATTTATGATAAATAATTCATATTATAATATAAGATTATTTTTATTTATTGAAAATTTATTTTAAGAATATTAAAACTTAATTAATAAATTATTATAATAAATAAAAATCAAATTATAATGAAGTTGAAAAAATCCTTAAAAATTCTTATTAAAAAAAATTAAATACACTCTTACTCTTATGTAAAATAGTGGTTCCTGTTTTATATACTAAGAGTTGATTTTATCTTATTTGATATTTCATATGTTGGTGTCTTCTAATTGTGTTGAATATATTTCCCTGTAAAAAGAAAATCATGAAACCCGCTGGATCATACATTTTATATACTAAAAACTTTATATATAACTTATCAAACAAAATTTGTAAAAATTATTGTGATTTTTTTTGGTACACAATCTTTTATTTTTGGTGCATAAAAAATTATTTTAACTGGCTTGCCTTTTGTTTTGTCTGGTTAAAATTAAATTGTTTATAAATAATTTTGATATATTAATAATATACTTATTATAATATATTATACCATTAATATTAATAGTTTATATTCACAAGACAAAACTTATACTAATAAAAAGTAATTCAATATTAAACTAAGAGTTTAATTTACATGTAATATCAATGTAGAAAAAGATTTTTACATTTGATAACTAATTAGAAATTATCCAAGTGACTAAAAAGAAATGCGTGTTGTTTTGTAAAACGTGTTAACGGTGTTAATGAAAGAGAGAGGGGGAAAGGAAATGAAGACAATAAATAACATCGTGGGAGAGAATCTGAGAGAAGGGTATGGTTTGAAAATTGACGTAAATGTGTGTACCTAAACTACACCACATTTTTAAATAACCGCCGCATTGGAGCACATGGCCTCTAACGTCTCATTTTCCAACTATTCTTCTTGTCCATTATTTGTATATTCCATTCCAATAAAATTCCACCAAGTCCTCCTTCAAAGTCAAGTACCTTTTCCATTTTTTCTTTTAACGACTAGGACAATTTTTTATTTTGTGAGGTTTATATTTATAAAAATGAATGAATAAATAAATAAACATATCATTACAAATATTAAGTATTCTGAAGTATGTTTTGTTAGAGGAAAAGAAAATAAAAAAAGAAAAAAAACACGGGTAACAATCTATTTTCTTTTGTTTGGTTAAATAAAATAAATTAAAATGTTGACTCTACAGAAATAAAAGATAAAAAAATATATAAAAAAAATTCCTTTTATTATTCCTCCAGTTTGAATTTCAATTCTTTTCTTTTTCTCATTCCAATTGAGCAATATGAGTTATTTATAAACATTTTTCTCATTTAACTTATCTCAACTAATGTTAATGCAAACAATATTTTGGGCATAGTAATTCTAATGATATTAACTAGATTGATGCTAAAAGAATCATTAAAGGTCTATTTATTGGTGGGAATTGAGTAATGTAATGACTCGATTGATCACTATACTTAATATAACATAGTTACTATGTAATGAAAAATATTAAATTGTAATAAACTATTTCAGGATTCTCATGCAATAATTACTTGGTCATTCATGTAAAAGATATATCTATAAGGGCAAAAAACATAAAATAGTTCTTACATATATAACTGAAAACATAAATTCCCTTATGAAGTTACATATATATCCTGTACATATATACAATCTACATAAAATATACCACTTATACAAAATAGCTTTAATCATTGATTATGCGTCTATACAATAACCATGCTACGCCCAAGTAACATCACCAAAATTAGGTCATTATCAGTATGACCTTCCACCAGCCAAAGTTATCTAGCTATATTCCTGCATTACTCTCATACCAAATATGATTATTACAATCCAACTACAAGGAAAATAATAAGTAAGCTTGTGAAAGAATCAACATAATCAATTCAATAAGATAGTTAGCTAAAGCAAAAGTCTCAACTGAAATCATTCACTAATGATTTATGACAAACAATTGAATAAAATTATCCAACAATTGATCGTCATATAAACAACTCAGTATAGAAGATAAATAACTTTCACAACTTCAAACACATCTTAACAACTTTCACAACTCCAAACACAACATAACAATAACTAATGATTGAGCAATTATTAAACAACCAACAATAACTACTAATCAATTGAACAACGGATGTGTCGTCATGCATAACAATTCATGGTGCTCTCCTATAACAACGGTGAGTAGTTTGAGTGATTTGACCCTACCAAATCACAATGACTGATATAAAATCAAAAATAATTAATTAGAAGTGTAAAACTATAAACAATGACTAACACAATGGTCAGATTGATTTCTCAAGTTTTACCACTTAAATTAGGAAAATTTAGTACTACTATTAGGGTAAAACAACTCAGGTGTGAGCCTACCATGACCTTAACATGCATAACTAAGTCTCTCATGAGATTAGTCCGCCAACTACCCTTCAAATATTATGTACATTTCCAATAATCGATTAAGGATTTTAACCATTGACTTCATATCTTACTCAATTGGTCACTTTATACACATATGGCTCAACTTGCCCCCATGGTTCCACACAAAACCTATAGGAGACTATTTAAAAACATCTTCTCATTTAGAAGTCAACTACTCACTAAAAGTTTTCAACTTTGGTCTCTTTGAGCACCATTATTGATATCCTCACAATGGGATATGAAATTTTTTTAAAACAACTCTCTCCTCTAATTTTTATGTATCTCATCCGAGACATGTATCACAATACCACATGTCTAGACAACTTAACTCAACTCCAATCAATTAATAACTTAAAACATCACTACACATTGTCCTAGATCAATGCAAAATAATTCATAATTATACAACATCATATTGTAAGTAAGAAAGCATTACACTTCATATAAATCTCAAGACTTACCCATGTTTCATTAAAGAAACCAGACCCAGAGCTATTGAGGCAGAGATTCTCTAGCTCGCCCATGTCCATCACCAAATCATATA